ATATAGAGGAGAAATGGTCGGGTTTTAGCACTGTAAGAACATTGTTTAGAAACACACTCTACACACACTTCTTCTTACTACATTATTTACACTCACACTGCATTATATTTGAGTACACACTGTTCCCATTCATTAGTCTTTCTTTAACAAATACATCAAACTTTTTGTTCTCCCGTCCCCCCCCCCCCCACCCCTCTCTCTCTCTCTCTCTCTCTCTCTCTCTCTCTCTCTCTCTCTCTCTCTCTCTCTCTCTCTCTCTCTCTCTCTCTCTCTCTCTCTCTCTCTCTCTAGTATTATTTGTGGAAATTGAAATGAGTTGGAACACTGAAATAAGAGTAAGAAATTAAATAGTGAGGCCCCATTTATAAGTTACATGCATTAATACTATGTGGTGTAGTTACTATCATGCAGCTACTTACATCCTCATTGTTTTTCGTTTCTTCATTTCCTTTTCCTTTAATTTAATTTAATTTAATTTATATCACCCAACCAAGTACTTGATGAATCACTGTATATATGTAGTATATATGTTCCGAATTCACGTACAAATGGAGTTAATTTTATTGTAACAATAATAATATTTATGATCGATATATACTTCACAATAAGCTAATTATTTAATTATTCGAGTTTCAATCCTCATAAAATGATATATTAAAACATATTACATATATATAATAGCATATATAACCTAGCCAGCTAATATAAAACTGAAGCTTTGTTTGAATTTTATCCATTTTTTCTATATAAATTAGCCTGTAAACTAAGGCTCTTGTTATGAATCATCCCAAAACTAAATATTTTGCCTGCAGAAAAAAAATTAAAGGAATATATATATATATATATATATATATATATATATATATATATATATATATATATATATATATATATATATATATATATATATATATATATATATATATATATATATATATATATATATATATATATATATATCTATATATATATATATATATATATATATATATATATATATATATATATATATATATATATATATATATATATATGTATACGAGGTGAATATCTATATATATATATATATATATATATATATATATATATATATATATATATATATATATATATATATATATATATATATATATATATATATATATATATATATATATATATATATATATATATATATATATATATATATATATATATATATATATATATATATATATATATATATATATACATAAAAAATACACTCAGTATATCTATTTTCTCTCTCCATGGATGATCAAAGTATAAATTCAACACAACGTTTTATTTTCTTCCTCCTTTAGTTTTCGGTCATCACAAGAACTATATCAAGAAATTAAAGAGAAGAAAAATACTATTGGTGTTGAAGCACTTGTAGCAAGAATTCGAAAATTATCA